GGCCTTATCAGCTCTGGCCACACAGGCAGGCAGGAAAAGGGTTTCAATCCCAGCCGAGCCCTGTTTCCGTCAGGAGCCATTCTCTCTGTCATGGGGGAGGGCTGGACCAGGCCGTGCTTTTGACATGGGGACCAGTGAAGCTGGGCTGTGGGGAGAGCAGGACCACAGGGCTCTGGTGCTGTACCCCAAAAGTATTGCCAGGCTCTCTCCTTTGTGCTGGGAAAGCTGTCTCTGAGCAATGCAGCTGTTCCTGCCCCAGCTTTGCACAGCAGAGCTGGTGACTCCCAGGAAAGGGGCTGCCATTAGGGCATGCAGCAGAGGTCTGGGCTGGCTGAGACATCCTTTGCTGGGGGTCACTGCTCCTCATCCCCACTGCTCCTCATTTCCTGACATGCCAGGAAAATGCCTGCTCAGAGCTGTACAGGCAACCTGAGAAATTCCACAGCAAAGGTCACCAATGCCAACCACAGGTGGGAAACTGAGGCAGGAGGAGATAACATCCTTCCCAGGGCTGCTCCAGCCTCTTAAAGCTGACTGGAGGAGGAGGACTGTGGCACAGGGCTTCTCCTAGTTCCTCAGCCCAAACCCACAGGATCAGGGAATGCTGGCCCCTGCTCCTCCAAACCCTGCAGCAGCACACATGGGGTGGAAAGGGGAGCTGGTAGAGGCACTGGCAAAGGCTGGGCTTGCTGTGATCCCCTCCCATTCCATGATTAATTGAACACAGGCTAAAATTAGCTGTGGAGGCAGCACCCCTGGGGTCTCCCAGCAGCATCCCACTGCCCGCTGGCTGCCTGCAAGTGGGTCAGGCAGCAGCTCCCTCCCAGCTGGGCACTCTGGGTGCTTGGGGGACCCCCATGCTCTGCTGAAGGTGGGAGAATAGCTCCTGGCACAGCTCTGCACCTCTCACCTCCCCGCTGCTGCCCTTCTTGGAGGCTTTTCCCTCTCTGGATGCATCGGGCAGGGCTGCATTATGAGGAGCAGCTGGGAAGGCACAAGGCTGCCTTTTGGGATGGCAGGAGTGTGGATCCCCGTCATGTTCTCCCCATGCCTTTAGGGATCTGTTATTTTTAGCCACTCTCTCTACCTCATGTTGCTAGCTCGGCTCTGGCTCTTTTTCCTCCCCTTCCCCAGCGTTAATTTGTTTTCTCTGTATTATTTGCAGATTCAGGGAGGCAGAACAAGGTGTTTTGGCACAGGGGACCACTCAGCCATGGCTTCTTCATGTTGTTCTCCACCCAGGGTTTTGCTTGGGTTTTCTCCTGGCTATTTTTAACCCATGCTAGCAGCTCTGAGGGGACAAAACACCAAGAGGTAATGCAAATTCGAGGTTTCCTGTGGCCGACGTGCCAGGCTAGGTGGGAGCTTGCTCATGGTTGTGCAGGGATGCACCCAGGGAGGCAGAGCAGCACCTGGACACAGCCCCCAGCTGCACCCGCTGTGCTGGATTACATTCAATGCCTCCTGCTCCCTCCTGACCCCCTGCACATCCAAGTCTGCAACCTCCTCCATGCCACATGGGGGGAATGGGGAGGCTGGGCTTTTCCCTTGGATCCAGAAGAAAGAAAACAGGGAAAAAAGTTAATTAAAAACTTCAAAGTCAGATCCTTCTAATTTGGCTTAACAGCAGTGCTGCTCAGCATGGATGCTGTCCCAGAGGTGCTGCATGGGGCTTGGGCTGGGAAGTGCCCACAGTGTCACATCACAGGATGTTCACAGAATTGTCACCCACCACTGTCACCACTGCAGCCCTGCTGAGCACTGGGGATGGGCTGGCACAGACCTAAGCTTGGGGCTGGGCACCTGGGCACCAACCTTCCCAAGGACTGGATTTTGAAGCCGCTGGAAGGGGTAATTCCATGGGGAGGCTGTTCCTCAGTTCCCCTGTGATGCAGGGCTGCCAAACCTTCTTGTTGGGAAGATGTTTTCAAGGCACCCGGGGTGGTGCTGACCCCCATATCCTGGCATGATATCACTGCCCCACATGAAGAAGGGCAGAGCTGGTGCTCCTGGAGGGAAGCAGGGGGTGTCTGCCTCAGCAGGGTCCAGCAAAAGTGGCCCTTGTCCTAGGGTGAGGAGGGGACCCTGGCACCACGGGTCCTGACCCCTCCAGCCACTGCTCTGAAGGAGGTAGGGAACATCTTCCTTGCCCAGTTCTCACTCCTTTCTCCAAAAGGAGCCAAAAATCCTCTTGTTTTTTCCAGAAAGCTACGTCACAGGACAGCGATGCTCCTGCCCAAGCACTCTGCCGCCTTGCTTTGCCTCCTGCCCTCGCTTTTGGGTTTTTTTGGTGGTGGGTTGAGGGTTTTTTTCAGAACTTTTGGCTGCATGGTGAGTAAAGGCATCCTGCTGTCTGAGGGCTAACGGCTTGTTGGAGAGATAATAAAGCAAAGGGGAGTAAATTAAAGTGACTATAAATAGCACCAGGAGAGGAAAAGGAGATGAAGTCATCTTCCTTCAGCTGAGCTGGTATTTGCATCACTCCTTCCCTTTGCCTTCCCCTGCCCCCTCACCCTGTTTGGGAAGCAGTCATTCCCAGACACTGGGATCCTACTGTGAGCTCTGTATGCCCCCTGGGCCCCCATGGGGCTGAGAAATATCCCCCTGGCCTGTCTGCCCAGTGCTGGAGACTTGCTGGAGAGCACAGCGAGGTGGTCTGAATGCAATCACTTGCCCCCAGGCTCCATGGCAGCTTCCCTATGGATCTGTGGCATTGCCCTTTATAAACCAGAGCAGGGCTCTATGCAAACCAGTGGCTCCAGCATGACCCCAGTGCTGCATCCAAGGAACAGCTTTCAGGAGCCATCACAAACCTGTTTTCTCCTTTGCAGCTCATAAAATGGGCAGCTAAAGAGACGCCCAGGAGCAGTGCCTGGAGGAAGGGACACTGCAAACCCAACAACAGCAAGTTCACCAGAGAAGCCCCTCCAGGAACCAAATTCCATAATTTACATTTTTATTCTTTAGGATTTTAACCTCCAAGATTCAAAAACTCCCCTATCAGTTCCAGTACAAATGACAGAGGAAGGATCCTGGCCCTGCCAAGAAGCCTCCCTGGAATCAGCAGACAGATTCAAATCTCTCCCCAGACCTGTCCCTGCCAAGGAGGCCGCTGTCCCTGCAGCCCCAAGCAGCCCCAAGCCCCCCAGCTGCCCCCTCACATGAGGTATATTTACATGAGTCAGAATGAGGTCACACCACCGTTTCCTTATGTCAGCTACCGACTCCTATTCCTGTGCTATGCACACACACCCGCCGTGTTATTGCAGGGTATTTATAGCTATTTTACATGTATAATTATAAAACCACAACTCCACACACACACAGAAATAATCCCGGTGCCGGGATGCAGGGGAGTGGGGCCAGGCTGATGAGAGCAGGAGCAGGACCTGGACCGCACCGCTAATAATAATTCTTTGCACTTTATATATAGCCCCTTTCATCCCCAGCTCTCAAAATCGCTTTGCAGGCATTTAATTAAGCTTCCCAACACCCTAATGTGATGACAGCCAAGTAATAATATCCTCGCTTTTAGGTACAAAGAGAGAGGAGGTGGTAGGATTTGCCTGAAGTCCCACAGTGAGTCCAGGTGTCCTGTCTCTTGCCCCACGCTTGTGGGATGACCACAGGGGAGATTTTGACTCAGAAGGGAGATGAGGACCTCAAGATCCTGCCCAACCCCTCTCCTCAGTTTGGGGTGGTGACAACGGATGACACTACAAAGTCTGGGGAAGCAGCAGTGACCCCAGGGACTGCTGGGCTGCAGCTGCCCATCAGCTGGATCAGCAGGTGGAAGAGACAGATGCATCCTGACAAACTCATGGGTGTGAGCTTGGGGGAGAGCAATAAATGAGATGACAGGTCTGAAAGGGCTGATTTATGAGGAATATTAAGAGTTGTAATCCTGCCTGGCCTGGCCATTCCCCAGGGAGGCAGGGTGGTGACAAGGACCCAGAGACATCACAAACCGACAGGATTCACTGGGGCCAGTGCCAGTGTATCTCCAAGCAGGAGGGCTGGAAGCAATTGTGCCTCTCAGGCATCCAGACAGCTCAGTGTGGGGGAATAGATGGGTCTCAGTGACAGCCTGGAGATGGGATCTCTGTGGTCCTGAGGTTCGTGCTCCCCTGAGCACCCTCTCTTCCTCCCATGTACATCCCCATTGGATGGACCAGTTGCCTCCATCCTTGGTGCTGCAGAGGGCACAGGGAGCATGGGCTTTAGTTTTGGACACTGATAGGATCACAAGCTGCTACCCAGCAAGAGGAACACAGCAAGAGAAGGTGGCCAGCAGAGCAAAAGAGTGAAGGGGTGTTGGAGACAAACACTGGTGTTGGCAATGAAAGGGGCAGCACTGCAGCCCTGGGGGTGAGGCTTGTTAACATCTGCAGAAAAAGCCACTCTCCTGACCAGTCCATGCATGGAGAGGTGAGGGTGAGTGCCTGTCCTCATCCCCACCCTGGGGATGCCCTCTGGGGGAAGCAGCAGTGGATGCAGCATGATTCTGCACACATGGGGACTAAATGCGAGTTAAAAATCATAAACCCTGATTGGATCCTGTAGCAAATACCATGCTGCCATTTTCTGGTCATGCTACTATTTTTTTTTCCTCCCTAGGAGGATTATATCCAGATCCCTGCTCTCCAGAATAAGCTGCACATGAGCCCCCCACCAAGAGCCCCCAGCTCATACCAAGCCCCCCAAGATGGGGGACCAGAACCTGTCACAAACCCTGGGACCAGAGAGCAATGACAGAGACATGAAGCCAGAAAACAGCAGCAAACCTTCTGAGGGGCTGCAAAGAAATGTCCCCAAACCAGCATCTCTGAGGATAAAGGGAAATGGGACAGAAAGCCAGCACAACCTGGGTACTGCCACAGGGACAGAAGCACCTTCTCATCACTGCACCAGACACTGGAACTGCCCCATGACTTGCTGCTGTCACTGCTCTGAGTGCCACACCCACTGTCCCTCCTCTGCCATCACCAGACGTCTCTTACCAGGAGCTGTCGGCAGCTCTGCCACCTCACTGGCCATGATGAAGGACTCAAGGATCCTTGCACGGAGCTCAGGGCCTGCCTCAGTGCTGAGAGGAAAAGGAGAGGTGTGTGAGGACACCAGCTCTGCCTCCCTGGAGACCCCAGCACCCTGGAACAGCAGCCAGTTACCCCAATGGATTTGCTGTGGGACTGAGGCAATGCTGTGGGACTGAGGCAATGCTGTGAATCCCAGTCTCGTGTGTGCAGCATGCCTGCTCACTTTGGGAACAGTTGTGATGTCTGAGCACCCTGTGGTGCTGGAGTGGCAGCTTCCAGATCTGGCCTCCCCCTTTAGAGAATGCTGTTCTTGGGCCACTGGTGGGCTGTCATACAGCAAAACTAGCTTGGTTGGGAGCAGCCTGTCCATGGGCACCCTCCTCTCACCCACCCTGTCCCATGCATGGCAGGGGACCTCACCTGGCTGCCACAGGGCGCAGCAGCAGCTCCCCGAAGAGCTCCCCGAGGAGCCGGGGCGAGAGGCGGCTGCGGGGGCTGCCCTGGCAGAGGTGACAGAAGTGACGGGCGAGCTGGCGCAGGAGCAGTGCCTGTGGCTGTGGCAGGGCTGGGGGGGCCAGCAGGGCTCTGGCTCGCTGGCCACACTCCTCTAGGCTTGGGGTCTCTGTAGCAGAGGACACACAGGAAAAAAAAATGGTCAGTTTGGGAGGTCAGGGGTATTCTCATGGGAGCCCAGCACCTAGCAGTACACAGGGCATGAGCTGTGGCAGTTTTCTATTCCCCCTAGAGACCCAAAAAAATCTGACCTCAACCTCTTCCACCACTATTTCTTTACAGCCCACCCCTTTCCAGACAGGACATGGGACTCGTGGATATCCCAGGGTCCACAGAGATGATTTCTTTAGGGCCTTGGCCACTTCTTTCTGGGGTTTGCCTGCCCCATTTACCCACTCACACCACCCCAGATCAGGTTGTCAGGTGACTTTAGCACACTCCCCCTGTCAGCACATCCAGGGAGGGAGCTCAGAAGGCTGAGCTTTTCACCTGGTAGGGGCTGCACCTCAAAATCCCTCACTGCTGCTCAAATGGAGAACATTCCATGGTGCACAGCAAAGCCATAGTAGAGGCAGAACAAAGCAGAGGTGGGAAAATGGGCACCAGCTTGAAGATCTGCGGAATTTAAAGGCTCAGCCCTCCCCTGAAAAAACAGCGAGCTGGGAAGGAAAAGGATTTCTAGGAAGAAAAACTAATTTGCACTTGGGCTGCAGTGAGGCTCCTGCAGCCCCCTGCATCAAGGTCTCACTCCCCATGAAACACAGCACAGGGAGGGCTGACTGGGGTGCAGCTGCCTCCAGTGATACTGGAATAGCCCATAAGAATAAAATCAGGCATTAATGGCATTGCACATCACAGAGGTGCTGCCAAAACCACTGTCACGGGTGCCCTGAGCAGCCCACAGTGAGTTCCCACCATATCCCCGGTGCCCTCTGGCAGCTTTGGCCGGGGTTCCCTGGTCTTGTGAGCTGTGAGCTCAGCGCCCTGGGACTGCGATGCTGCCCCAGGCACAGGAAAGAGCTGCTCTCCAGCCATCCTCCATTCCTGCCTTGTCCCAGCCCTTTTATCTGCCGGGGACAGGGAAGTCCCCAGGGCTGGGCTGCTCTCAGCTGCCTTCAAAGCCGAGCTGGGCCAGGGCTGACTCAGCTCCCCACTGCTCTTTGCACCAGGACTGGGGCTTGGCCAGTGCCCAGCCAGCTCCTGGCATCCATCCTTGGAGCCAGGGTGCACCAGAGCTGGAAGGGCAGGGGTCTGGGGTGCCCTCCAAAGCGGGTCTGCAAAGTGTGTTTGTGATGGGGTGTTGGGGAGCCTTTGTATCCAACAAACTGCTCCTGAAGGATGTTTAGCTTTGCTCCAGGGTCTCCCCTGCCGCAATTCCTGCTTTTTTTGCACCTTTTTGCACCTAGAGGATCCTGCAGGAGAAGGCTCACAGCCAAAGGGGGAATTTGAGGATGTTTTTCCCTTCCTTTTGAAGGTGGTCATCTTGCTGCTTTCCCAGCTCTCAGCCTCAAGCAGGGCAGAGGAGCCTTGCAGGGCAGGCTGCCAAAACACAGCACCGTCTCCTCAAAGACTTATATTTTAATTTTTTCTTTTAAGCCCCAGAGAAATCCTCTTCCCATTGGTTTCTCCACCGTTCTGCCCCCTCCTCCTCCTGCCCCTGTTGTGCCAGGAGCAGAGCCCGCTGCAGCACAGGCTGCAGGGAAAGGCGCTTCCCTTTGAAGTTGCTTAACGAGGCAACCCAGCTAATTGCTTCCTAATTGCGTTTTTATCCTTGGAAGGGAGGCAGCCTTTGATTTCTCCTCTGACGGGTGAGGGGAAGGCAGCTTCTCTGTGCCACCAGCCCCAGGGGTATTTCTTCTGGCTCTGTGTCTCAGCACAGGGCAGGGGGGATGGGGTGTGAGTTATCCCTCACTTTCTCTGTGCGTCCCTTCTGCCTCGCTGGAGGCCACAAAGAGCCCGTGGCCTTTTCCTGTCAGGACATGGTAGGAAAAGGCCACACTGCTCCGTGCAAAGGTGATCTTTTAGTGCCTCTTCAGGCAGCCAAGGATATGATCTGCCCAAGCACTAATCTGGCTTAGGATGGGGAAGTGATGCTCAGGGATGGAGGGTACTGCAGCAACTGGCAGCAAGATGAGTGCTGCTGTGGAAGGGGAAGAAATCCTGGTTTCACAAGTAGCAAGAGGTTCAGATCCTGTCGAACACAGTGGGCAAGAGTTTCTTGTGTGCTTGGTGATTCTCATGGGCCCTCAGGCTAGGAGGGGTTGAGCAGCTCTGTGAGGACTCACTTGAAATGGGTTTTGGTCTAGCCTCACTGCTGGGATGGACTGTGGGCTCTGCTGGCCTGGGTATGAGCCCTGCTCTGTTTATTTGAAAAGATATCCAGCAAAACCAAAACCTTGATGGTCTCATACATTTCCACAGAGCCTCAAAAGCTTGCAGGGATCTAAAGGCACTTCCTAATGGCACTAAGCTGAAAAAGCTGAGAATTTTTTGTGCCCATATAAAGCCAGGAGTTAATGAGATTACAGGAAAAAATTCCCCGGCAGCAGAGCCAAAATATTATAATAATGCTTTCTTCTGGGGCCAGCATCACCCAGCCTTGGCAGCTGCCTGTCCCAGCAGGCAGCACCTCCTCCTCCAGGCACTGCAGAGGGAGAAGACCACACTGTGGTGGGGGCAAAGCAGCCCCTGGATCTCCCTTCTTTCCCAGAGCATCTCCCAAATGCTGCCGTGCTGCTCCGGCACAGGTGATGTTCCTAATGGGCATTCATAGAATCTGCTCTTGGGGATGGGGTCAGAACCAGCCTGGAGATGCTGGGAAGCATTTTTTAGGGGCTTCCCAAAGTTTCTTCAGCCCCACAGAGATCCCAGGTGTCGGGGGAGCCCACGTGTGCTTACCTTGGGCCATGTGAACCAAGTCACTATAGAGAGCTGGAGGGATGAGGGGTGTGGGGAGCTCCTGCAGGTACCACTTCAGGGCATCTGCCAGCGTCTGGGCCTCGTACAGGTCCATGTCCACTGCTGAGGCATCTGGAGGGAGAGAGACACAGAGAACCCTGAGCCCATGGTTCTTGCCCTCTGGCCCAGAGCTCAGAGCTCTTCCATCCCTGTGGGCCTTCCTGTAGACATGGGGGCTGATTTCTGTGCCCATGCCCCCATCTCCCCAGTGGGGCAGTGCACGATTTCACTGCCACCACTCCCCCAGCAAATATTCCTGTCCCAATTTCCACTGACCCTGAGTTCCACGTGCCCAAGGAGAGCACGAGGCAGCATCTCTGCTCTGACTGTACATCCAGTGCATGGGACAGGGAGCCTCACCATTCCACTGGGGTCCCACTGCAGGGTAGGACCTGTGGGAAGAACTGAGCAACCGCCCCAGGAACCTTCCAATTTTCAGGGCTAGATACCTTGTGCCAACCCCAGCCCAGCAGGAACTGCTTGGAGAATGCATCCATGGAATGGGGTCATGGTTCCCAGGCAAGGCCCATGTGACCCCCAGTCATCCCAAAATGCTGTGAATGTGCCCTAGCTGGCATCATTTCTCCCAGCCCTGAAAGGTGGCTGCCCTGGGGAGGTGGTGAAGGATGCTCCAGGAATGGGGGAAAGTGTTGGGGAACATCAGGAAAGCACACAGGAGGCCACACAGCCTGGGCTCAGGGACTCAGGGGTCCTGGGCTCAGGACAGAAGCAGTGCTGGGAGCAGAAATGTCCCATGGCCTGTCAGGAGTCAGAGGGTGGGATGTGTCTGTCTGAGCCCCAGGCCAGCACAGGGACATTGCTTCACCATGGTCCAGGGGGAAGAAGCCTTTCAGCATCCTTTGGTATTGCCTCATGTGTTTGTCTTGGAGGTTTCCCATCCTGGCTGGGCTGGGTGGTGGCTGTCTGGAGGGTGATGGTGCCTTTTGCAAAGATCTGAAGGTTTCAAATTCTGGCTTTGGTTCAAACTGGACCCAAATGCAACGTTTTGAAATTCTTCTTCTTGAAGAATTTGTAGGGTGAGGGGTACAGGAGATTGGGAATTATTTTTAAAATGAATATATTTGAGATGGTCTGAAATGGTTAATTTAAAAAAAAAAGAAAATAAAATTTGTCATTTTCTTAAAGATGCTGTGCCAGGCCTCACATGGCCTGGAATGACAGAGAAGACTGTGGTCTTGCCCTGCTCTGAGTCCCCTTCCACTCCACTCACTGGGTCTCTACCCCCTGATGCAGCTTCACTGAAGTTGGAACCATTTTGGGAGATGCTCCATCTCCCAGGCCAGCATTTTCCAGCATAAAATGTTGTGAACCTCTAATCACTCCAGCCGTGCTTCCTTCTGAGGCAATAAACCCAAAAGAGGGGAGAAATGCTCTTTGCTAGGGCAAGGCTTTAGAGGCACACATTTAGCAGGGCTGGGATGGGGAACAGCTGGGAAAAGCTGTTTTTGAGCACCTTGGCCTTGATCTCCTCTGGTTGGAGTGCCCCTGCTGTGCCCCAGGCAGCCTGGGAGCCTGCCTGGCTGCGTGGGAACACCAAGCTGCAGTGGGTCCCTTATGGCCAGCGCCTTCCATTTGGCTCCCAGACGGAGAGAAAACAGATTGGCCAATGCCTGAAGGGAAGCCTTTAACCCAGCCATTGGAGACGCTACCTCATGCTCAGGAGCTGGGAGTTTGTCCCGGGGCAGCGTGGGGACAGCCAGGACAGATGCCACCACGCTGGGGCAAGCAGCCATCCAGCGTGGCCAAACGTGACCCAGGGCAAATGGGCTGCTGCCCTTCTGGCTCCCTGGGAAGCCACAGCATCGTCCCATGGACCACTCTGCCCTTGGCATCCTCGAGGTGGGCAGGGCTGTGCCAGCTGCACCCTGGCCCCATTCTGGTCCGTGTTCATGCTTCCATCTCCCAGCCACACTTCTGGACCTTCTTGGCTGGCCAAAAGGGTTATTTCTGCCAGGCTCTGTGGGGGAATGACAGTCAGCTCCCCATTTTTGGTAGCACTTGCCCTGGAGCTGTGAGCTGGCAGGTTGTCTCGAGCTGGGCAGGTGGAGGAGAGTGGGGTCAGGGATCCCACAAGATGCTCCAACACCTGCTTTTGGCTGAATACTCACAGTGCATGGCTAAAACCCAGGGATGCTGCTGGGGGGTCCCAGGGTCTCATTGTACTGCAGAGAGCTTTTCCCATCAGTGGAATGCACTGAGCAAACCCCAAAGCCCTTCCCACCCGCCACGAGGGTTTCTGCAGGGACCTGTCACTCGCCTTAAGGATGCTGGCAGGGATTGAGGAGAGCAGCCACAAGCTGTTCCTGTGCAGGGAAGGGGCCGCTGCCGGGCGCTGGCCCCAGGCGATCAGCCCCGGGCTCCACCGTGGCCTAATTAGCTTGTTTGCCTCGTTAGGCATGAGCCTGGGGGAGTGTTCAAAGGAAAGCTCAGCCGGTTTCAAAGCGAGATTCACAAACATCTCTACACCCAGAGAGAGGCGCGATGGGGAGACCAGGGGGATTCGCACTGCGCTGACAGAGACTAATTGCTGACGGCACCATTCTCCTTGCTGTTGTCCCCATCCTCCTGGAAATGCAGTGGCATCCTATTGCCCCAGGAGGAGTTCTCCTCCTGCCTCAGGAGCTGCCCTGGTGAGCTGGGCTCCCCATCAGGCTGAGAGCACAACGAGGGATGCTCCGAGCCCTTCCCCAGCACCGGCTGTGTCCCGGCAGCTCGGGGAGGCTCAGCCGGCAGCCGGGGAAGGGTTAACCCCGGAGCCTTCCCAGACAATTACCACCGGCCTGACCCCACGGATGCTGCTCTCTTCTTATCTGAGGGAAATGATAACCAGCTATAAGAAGTTAATGAAGCTGCAGGATGAGTCAATGCTCTCCTGCTGCTCTACAGATGTTCCCATCCTTTCCCCAGGGGAATGATGGAGGAATGACAGAGGGATTCCATCTGCCTGCCATAAATAGAAGGAAAACACCCCAAAACCCCAACCTCGACCCCATACCAACACAGAACCTGCTTGCTGACCTGCTGGCAGAGCAAGCATCTGGGGACCAGTGGCGAGCATGCCTTGCCCATGGAGGAGTGAAAACCATGAATAAATTTTGGAATGTGGGGACAGGGTGCGTGGGATGACCGCTGGCCCACAGGGAAGGACTCCCAGCCTCCTCCCACTGGGATTTCAGACCCCACATCCCAGCGGAGGCAGAAAGGTGCTGGAGCTTTGGGCTGAGTCAGGCTGGGCAGGAAACTCCAGGACCTCTCCCGCAGCTGCAGCCGGCCGGGGAGGCGTGAGTAAGCCTGAGTTTCGGTAAACGCAGAGGATGTTTAGCCACCAGGGGTTGCGGGGGAGGTGGGGGCTGTTGTGAAGGAGAGGCTTGGGTCAGTCCTGATAAGCAGCTGTCCCCCTGCATGTGGCCACAGGTGATGGCTGCTCCCACAGCCCTGCCCAGCTCACGGGTGACAGGGTGCAGCACCCAGCACCCTTCTCCCAGCAGGGAGCCCAGCAGCCTGAGCCGGACCTTGGCCACTGAGCACTGCTGCAGTGAGATGTTCTCAGGTGTGTGGTCCCTGCGACAGAGGGGCACCCAAACCACCCTGGGGCTGACTGAAATACCGACCTGGGAGTTTCCTACCAGGCCTTTTAGGTTTAGTTGTCAGTGGGTGCTAGAGAGGTGTCCTTGCTGTCCAGTTGTGGGGGCTGTACGTTCCCGTCTGCACGGATGCTGACCAGGCACTCGAGCTCCTGGGCACCCACAGTGAGGGTTTACTGGAAAACTGTGGATTCACCAAATCAGGGAATATTTCCCAGCTTTGACTCAGCATCATTGTAACATCTCCCAGCCAGCCTGCTGGTACCTTGTGCTGGGGGCTTGGCAGCTGCCAGGACACCCCCTGCCCATGCACAGGAGCTCCTGCCAGCTGCAAACACTCTCCCAGCTGGGTTTCACCCCACCGTACCCTTGGCTTGCACTCAGCCAGGGTAGGGGTGCTGGGATCCCCTTTAGGGGTGCTGTCTGAGACTGCCTTTCCCCACCTCTCCTTCCCTAAGGCAATCCCCTTCCTCAGTTTTCCCAGCAGCTATGGGAGGGGATGGCAAAAACTCACCCCCAGTTCTCCCTGATGGGTCTGGCAGGGATGTCTCTGCTGCTGCCGTTTATTTACCCTTCTTTCATCACCACCAAATATAAGAGATGAGCTCATGCTTCTCGCCAGGCTCTGACGACACGGGGTTTATTTCCACTGCAGGTATAAATAAAAAGCAGTGCCGCAGGCACCGGGGCGCCTCACGCTCGGGAGGAAAGTCATCCTGGTGGAATGAGCTTGGCCGGGGGAAACCAGAGCCCTTGGGGGGCCTCGGATCCCCTGTGGCATCCCAGGGATGAGGACGGCGGCGCGCTCCATCGCCGTGCATCCACACCGCGGTGATGGGGGGAGCGGCGTGAGGCCCCCCGAGCCGCTGCTCACTCCCCGACCCTTTCTGCCTAGCAGCAGCTCCTGGCAGCCCCACGAAGCCCCGGCACCCACCGTGTCTCGCTAATCCCCACCGAGAGCTGACCTAATTCCCGGGCACGTGAGCGTGTCTCCGGGCAGACTGCGCCCCGCGCAGCCGAGCGCGCAGCGCGGCGCGGCACGCCCGGAGACACCGGCTCCAATCCGCCGGCTCTGCTCCCGGGCAGCCGAGCCGCAGCGGCTCCTGCCCGGCCCTGACAACAGCGGAGAGCCTCTTCCCATTGCTGCGCTTGTATCCGGGGAAGGGTCTCCGTGTTTACGTCTGCGGCTGGACTCCAGAGCCCGAGCAGAGCGGGGCTCAGCCAGAGCGCGGGGGAGGTTTCAGCGCTGCGCAGCCATCCCGGAAAGGTTCGGTCCCACCTGAGCCATAGGGAGCACCCACGGACCTCTGGGGTGAGGTCTCTGTGCACTGTCCGCCACCAGGGAGGAGGGGTAAGGACGCAGAGCTTCCCTACTCAGCCGTGGCAAAGCACTGCCCGGATATTACACACGGGACTTTGCAGCCATTCCCAAGCCAAACCTCCCTCAGCTTGGGTGCCTCAAGTCTGAGGGGCTCCAGCACCCACCAGCCCACCCACAGCTCTGCTGCTATCATCCAAAAATGTCCCAAGTTTCCAGCAGCAGCAGTGAGAAGGCTGCCTGCCACGTCCCAGGCAGAGAGGAGCGTGGACAGAACCCTGAGCAAGCCTGGTGCAGGGGAAAACATCAGGTCTGGGCACTGAAGGGACTCATACACCTCATGTCCCCAGGCTCCAAACAGCCCCTGAGCTGCACACAGGGGACAGCAGGACTGCTGGGAGCTGCAAACTCTTGGGGTCAGTGTGTGGCCCCACACCACAGAAATACCCCATGGCATGAAGTAGCTCCCATCCAGGCACTGCAGGGACTGCTGGGGGCAGAAGGGTGAAACTCTGCTTTATTCCTCTTTTTCAGCACATACTCTATCAGTGACACTGCAGCAAGTCAGATACCACTGACCTGCAGAATGTCACCAGTGCCAGGATGGGAACAGGCTCAGCTCAGACTGTACACCCATGAGGAGCCACTCTGTCCAATGCTGCCATGAGGATGGGAAACCTTCATCCCAAACCTGGATGATGTTCAGCTCAGGGACTGTCCACAGGTATGATCCCCCACGGTAAGAGCTCTAAAAGGGGCAGGGATGGGGAAAGGGTTCAATCAGCATGACTCAGACCTGTGACTGTGCTGCCAGCCCTGGGAGCACGGTGCCCATGGGCTCCTAGGGACAGCCAGGAGCTGACTTGCCCAGCTCCTTGTGTCTCAAGGTCCTCCTCCTTCTTCCCACTGGAAGTTCAGATGCTTTCAGTGCAGAAAACATGCTGAGTTCTCTAACACATTGAGATATAGGGGGTTAGAAAATCAACATCTGAACTTTTCCAGCCCTTGCTCCTCCATGCCACCAACCCTGGCTCTGGTTTCTCCCCATTCCCCAGGATGAAGCTTGTCCTTTGCAAGCAGGCTGCTGGCAGATATGGGAGTCTGGAGGGGAGAACCACCAGGAGCACGGGAGGAGGGGAAATGTGACTCTGTCTTCTCACACACGGGGCAAGCAAACTCCAATATTCCTGCAGGACCATTTATTCCACGGAATGCAATGAGAGGACTTGTATGGGACACAAAGCAGAGATTCTCTCCTGCCCTCCCCAGCCCGGTGTGGGCTCCAGCAGGGTCCTGGGGAAGCACCACTGGGTCTGTGCTCTGCAGGAGGTTGCAATAGGAGCAGGCTGCCAAGCCTGGCCTCTGCTGGGATGCTTGACTCCAGCAGGAACGTCATTCCCATCCTGTTGCAGAGCATCTCTCTGGCATGGCTGAGCATCAGCCCCTTCAGCTGAGAGCTAATGAGTGTGAGACTTGTCCCACCCCCTCCAGCTCTGGGGAGCCCTGACTTTGCCCAGCTCAGTGTTGCTGAGCACAAGGGGCAGCCCCCTGTGGTGCCCAATTAAAGATTTTGGTCCCAGAGGAAATAAGGGCTTGGGAGTATCAAGTCTCCCAGGGCTACTGGTGATTTTTAAAGGCTTCCAAATGTTTTTTAAACCACAATGGCATTTCTCTGACCAGTGCTGGACCCTGCCATGGGAGATGTGCAGAGGAGATGTGCAGACCTGGATAGACCCACCAAGTGCCAAGCCAGTGGGGTTTGCCCTGGGCTGGGAGGATCTCCTGAGGCTGAGCAGGATTTTGGCAGTAGCTGCAGTGGTGCTGCCCTGTGGGGAGCTCTGGACCTGCCTGGGATGGAAGAATGGAGGACCCATAACTCCTGCATGCTTGGAAAGCAAAACATCCTTCCCATGCTGGTATTGCTGCCCATGCCAGCCTAGGCACCAGTGCCCAGGGCAGTCCAGGGGATTGCTCTCGGATGCCTTCACCTCCTGTTAAGAAGAGCACCCACTGCTCCGGGCTTCCTCAGCCCACATCTGGGGGAGAAGAGTGGGGTGGTGGGGTGCCCCCAACCCCCCTCACCTCCGCGGGGAGCGCAGCTCTCTTCGAGCAATGGGGAAGGAGCATCCCTGGGAGCTCTGCTCTCCTGCATCCCTCCTTTCCCCGCCCGGCGGGACGCGGCTCCCGGTGCGCGGGAAGCGATGAGGTCATGGTGCTTAATATAGCGATTTCATCACAGCCCTTCTCCCCAGCAACACCGCCCGGCTCCCGCCGCCCCCCGCCCGGCAGCGCCCGGGATGCGGGGCCAGCCCGGGGCTGTGCGGGGCCGCCCGTGCCTGGTGTCACAGTGCCGCCCTCTGGGCAGCGCGGCCGGAGGATGGGGATGCTCCGTGCACCCCCTGCCCCCCAAAAAGCCCAGATTTGAGCGGCACGCTGGATCCATCGCGTCCCTCCCCGCCCCGCGCCGTCTGCCATCCTATCCCAGCCGTGGATTTAGAAGCAGGGATGGGGAAATGGTTTTCCCTTTCTCCCCCAACCCGCTCATGCTCCTTAAGTCCTGCAAACAGCTTTCCATTCTTGTAAATAATGTGCTTTCCCTTTCCTCTTTCTTTTTCCCTATTGCAAGATGCTTTCTCCTTGCCCTGCTTCTCCGATACAAACCCTAGAGATTAAAAAACTCAAGTATTTTTGCCCCCACCCCCCCTCACCCTCCCAAAAAATACTCTCCTGAAGCGCTTCTGCCCTGCACCTGCATCACTTTTAGCTGCATCCCACGGGGAGAAGAGGGGGGTCCGCACGCAGGCAGGGCCTCACAGAGCCGGGATTCGGGCTCTGCTGATGTTGGTGCCGAAACCCCTCCCTGCCAGGGCAGCATGGCCCCACAGCCCCTTCCCTCCCGGAACGCGGCTCTGGGACTCACCGGCCAGGAGCGCCTGCTTGAGCTCAGCATCCCCCAGCGCGCCGGGGCCGGGCCTGTAGAGCACCTCGCTGTCGAGCCCTGGGACACAGCCGGGAGAGAGGGGTTAGTGCTGAGCCCACCTCCTCCTTCCCGACACGGGGGAGCCAGGAGGGGCCGAGAACGCTCCCCGCGCTGCCCCCGGGGGCCGGGGAGAGGTTTGGCTCCAGCGATGCTCCCGGGGCGCTCCGAAGCGGGCAGAGCGGGTGGCTGCGTGTGCACCCGGGTGTGCCCTGCGGCCGGGGCCCTGGCTCTCCGTACCTTGTTTTTCCAGCGCCTCGATGAGCCTGGCCACGGTCTGCAGAGCCTGCTCGGGGAGGGCGGGGTGCTCGGTGAGCTCTGCCTGCCCGGAGAGTCCTGCGGTGAAAAGAAGGGGAGAAGGGGTTTGGAAATTCCTGCCTGCAGGAATTCCACGTTCCTCAGCTGCCCCAGGACAGGATCAAGCTGCTGCTTTGGCACAGCCACAACCAACACTTTGGCTCATGCATGTCTAATTTGGGAGCACTTCTCCCCTTTATTTTATCCTCTTTTTGCAATAAGAGTCGCCGTTGGGGGCTCAGCTGCTTGCTGAGACGCAAAGACCTGCTCAGGAATGTGCCCTGCTTGTGGGCAGCATCCAGTCCTGGGCATGGAGATCTTCAAAGACAAAACCTCTGTTCCCACCCCTCTCATCACCCACAGCCCACGGTGACAGAGGCAGGAGCTGGGAACCCAGACCCATGCCCACCACAGACACTTCTCACTGCAGCTCTCACTGCTCAGGTTCTCTGGTGTGCACAGCAGGATTGAGAACAGGCCCAGGAGGACCCAGCCTGCCCCTGGCTGGTGCAGACCTCCCTCAGCCCCTAAAACCCCTTCAGCAATCAGGGCTCAGCACAAACCCCCATGTGCTGCTCATCCTGGGTTTTAGACCAAGGACATCTCACTGCAGATCATGGCAAAGAGGAGCAAAGCCCTTGGCAGGCAGGAGAGCAGCTGTCCTTACCCCAGGGCATGTTGTATCCATCCATCCATCCATCCATCCATCCATCCATCCATCCATCCATCCCTCTTTATCACCCCAGCCGATAAACCCCTCCTGTGGGGGTTAAACCCAATGGACACCTTGGCAGGTCAGTGCTGGGATTTCTCTCTGCTCTCTCTTTAGTGGCATTGAGAACCCCAGAACAGCAAGGGGCAGGGGCTGGCAGGGGCTGCCACAGGCTGCAGCACACCAGGGCCATGTGCGACTGCTGCAGCATGAACAATGCGTGGAAAGGCCAAAATGAATATGAGAGGGACTTCAGGCAGGGCCATGCTGCCTTCAATCTTTCACAAAAAACACAACCTGGCTGCAACAGGTCGATCCAGGCTCTGATCCTCACCGTGGTGATGCCCTGGTGCTCCCTGGAGAACAGATAATGATGCAAACCTGCCACTCATGGGTGGCTGATCCAGTCCCCAGGCATGGCCACAACCCCCAGCCACAGCAAGGGGTCCCCTCTGCCACCCAGTGGGGGTGTGTTGGTGCCTTGGGTGGGAACAGGGAAGATTTCAGGGTTAAAAGCAAAGTGCATGGTTGGAAGCTCATGCAAAAATGTTCCCACTGCATGAGTGGTTTTATAATAAAGGAAACTGGGCTTTTCCTCTGAATCAATGGCTTGGGGAAAAGGTGGTAATTGCAAAAAAAATAACTTTCTCCTGGCTGGGAATGGCAGGAATGGCCCAAAGCTGTGCCAGGCTGGATCCCAGCATCTTGATGCGCCACTCAATGCCAGCCCTGGGGGAAGTGGAGGTGATGCCTTGTGACAGTGGTGCTGCCCAGGACAAGTCGGGGGCAAAACAGCCAGCAAGATCCCCTGGGACTCAGATCTGCTGCAGAGCCATTTTTGGGATGTTATTTAATTAAAAGAAGGACCATTCCTCCCTGCAGAGCCAGCCCTGGCTCGAAGGCATGGCTGGGACATGCAGTATCTCTCATTCCTCCATGGTCTGAGCCAGCTCAGGGTCCCTGAGTGGCACCAGGGCTCGGTGGGAACTGAGGCACTTGGGGGTGGGGGGAATGGGGTACACTGCTGTCGCAGAAATATAAATTTGTGTGATTTTTTTTTGCCGGAAATACACCCCTCAAACCTCCATCTGGAAATGGAATCAGTTTGGGAAGAATAAAATAAAAAAAAAATACAAAAACCAAAACCAAACCCACCAAACCAAAAAAAAACACAAACTAAAAAATCCCAAACCAAAACAAGAGTACCTTCTCTTTCCAGAGGATCTTGGAGATTTTTACTCTAAGGGGAAGCCTGTGATCTGGGAGGTTTGCGTTTAAACTGACACAAAATGGCACACAGTGCTCCTGTGCTGCAGAAAGACGTGGTTGTGGGACAAAACGTGCCCTAGTGAGGTGCCTGCACACCCTGGCGTGGCCCCAGGAAAGGCACCCCAGGGAGGGGCACCCCATGGCACAGCACTGGGAAGGCAGCCCCCAGTGTCCCCCTGGACACCTGGCCTCGGCCAGAGCACGTCCTGCAGATGGCAGTGCCCTTCCCACCTACCCCAAAACCTGGCTTTAGGGCTTTTTTCCCCACTAAAAATTATGGATTTTACATTTTAAAAATGTTGTTATGCTTTCACCTGAGTGCATGCAGGGCTGGGGTGCCTACACCGAGACCTTCCTCATGACTCTCCGGCCAGGACACACTTCCTGCTGCGGACATTCCTCGATTTGCAGGGAATCTCCACATCCCCAGCACCTGTGGGCAGGGGTCCCTGGGCACATCTCTCCAGGAGAGGAGCCTGTGGCACCCCCTGTGTGAGCAACAAGAAGGTGGCTTCGCCTTCCCTGGTGAGCAGGGCTGGAGAGCCCTGGGGTCTGCTCCTGTCTGCCCCAAAATCTCCACACAGCTCTGAGTTTTCCAGAGCTCTGCTGCTGAACACTCAGAGGGTTCACCGCTGAGCTGGACTGGGCAGGGGGCTCAAACCCCTCGTCTGGCAGGATAAACACCCCCAAAAAGCGGCCTCCACCCTCCTGCAAATCCAGCACGTAGCTGCACACGGAGCCTCACCAGTGCTGCTGGGACTGCGGCTGCCTTGGCGCACTGGTCGGGGAGGAGCACCTGCATTTTGGTGAGGGGAGGTGTGGGGGGGCCCAGCGTCCTTCCCAAGTGGTTGTGGGGCTGCAGGTCAGGAACTGCACAGCAACCCCACACGTGTTCATGGACGGTGCCATGCTCAGCCCAGGAGCCAGGTGGTCCCCACCTCAGAGCACGGTGACAAGGGGGTCCTGAACCGTATTTTGGAGGGAGACAGACTCCTCATCAGAGTGCCCCTCTGAACCCTGACCAAGCACAGGGGCTGCTCCTTTGGTTACCACACTGGTCCCAAACTGGGCCAGGAGGGTGTCTGAGGTGCCAGACCAGCAGCTGGGCAGGTTTTCCTGCCAGGGCAGTGCTGCTCTGCCAGCCCCAGGCCAGCACTGACAGCCATTTCTGCTCCATACATCCCAAGCAGGAGAGCACCGTGGCTTTGACTGGGGTCACTGGGATGTGCTTGGCTGGAATGAGGGGGGATTCTTACTTTGGTTTTATTTTTTTTTAGCTTGTGTACACGGTGCAACTGCTGTGAAATCCTTCCTGGCCCCCAGTGCACTTGGCCACGGTGAGTGGCGAGGGCAGAGCTGCTGCACGAGCTCAGCAGATACAGGCAGAGAAATGGGCACAGGCCCCTGTGCCAGGAAGGGTCCTGCCAAGTGTCTCCCCAGGGCTCTGCTGCAGCCCCCAGGGACAGAGGAGCCCCCCAGGGACTGACCACACCGCTTGCCAGGATTGTCCCCTGTCCCAGCTTGCACAAAGTGACAGTGAGGCTGGGAGCTGGCCGAGGGCCAGCACTCACCCGGGCACTGAGAGCAGCCTGAATCAGGTGCCGCAGTGGTGGGGAGAGGAGCAGGTGGAGAAAAGGTCCCTGGGGACCACCATGGGGCTTTCTGCTCCTCTCTGAGGAGCCAAAGAGGCCTTGCATCTTCTGCTGTGCTCTCAGGGATGTGGATCTCCTTGGACACCCCGTGCCAGCACGGCAGCCAGCCTGGGATGCTGGTGAGGAGCAATCCCTGCAGCATGTTTGGCCGGGGGGTAGCGACACTCTGGGCATCCCCTGCCCCTCCTGAGGCTGCCTCGATGCACCAGGGCAGATAATTCCCAGAACAACTTCTTTTTCTGGGGCTGGATCCCCGTCCCGAGCGTGGTTTCCCACTAAGCCACCTCAGCTGCAAGCGCCCACCCCGGCTCCACACCACCCTCACCATCTTGCGGGGGACACCCACCCGTGGGCTCCCACCTTCCTGCTCCCCTCGCACTCACCCCAGGGCGTGGGGGTCCCAGCGGGTGGCAGGGGCAGGGGCCGTGGCCTGGCCTTGGTGGCGGCGGCGGCGATGCGGGTGGGACCCAGGTACTCCACGTAGGTGCCGGGGAAGTCTCCGCGCTCCTTGGTGCGCTCGTTGACGCCGTGCAGCCACCCCTGGGGGTTGCGCTCGTCCCCGTCCTTGTAGTTGGGGCTGCCGAGCAGCCCGGCCCTGCTGACCGTCAGCACATCCCCGGGGCACAGCGCCAGGTCCTCCTCCCGGTCCTTCTGGTACTCGTAGAGAGCCCGGTACTGCAGCCCGTCCGAGGAGGCCATGGCGGCGTGGCCTGGGCACCCGCCCGGCCGGGCACTGGGGCACTGTGGGCTCGGAGCGCTCCCTTCCCCGCACACACGCGCTGAATTTCCCTCAGTGTCGGCAAATCTGCGAGATGGAGAGCGGCTGCTGACCCTCCAACCCCAGAATTGCTCTGGAGCCACACCAGCGCCTGGGACTCGCTGGCTCGGGTGTGGGTAAGGAGCTGTTTCTTCACCGGGGCAAACGGAGGGGAGCGAATGATGCTGTTGGGGGTAGAGGGGGCAATGGTGGGTCCTCGTTAGCCTGGCTTCATCCGCACCGTGCTGGGGACATCCCTCCCCTGCCGGAGAGAAAGGCAGCGCGTTAGTGACCAAACCTCCGCCTTGACCCCAGCGCCGTGCCCGTCCCCATCCCAAATTCCCGGCACCAGGGAGAGCCCAGCGGCTCGCTCGGCTCCTGCCTCCCGGGGAGCTCCCGCCAGCCGGGCTCGGCCACTGCACGCAAGGAAAGTACCGGCAAGAGTCTGGAAAGTAGGGCAAGAGATCACGCCACGGGTTTTTAAAATAGACATATGTGCTGAGAAACCTCCTGCCGCACGCAGCTCCCCTCCGGCAGCTCCAGGCTGGCACTGCTGCACGGAGCTGGCAAATGAAGATGTAGGTTTTTCATATGGGTTTGCTTTTGGCTTTTTTTTTTCCTTTTTTTTTTATTTTTTATTTTTTTTTTGGTTCATCTTTATATATTCCTCCAAGAGTGACATCATCGTTAGGGGGAAAGACTGCTGCTGCCGACCCACTGTCCCCCAGCTTCCAGCAGGACCCCGTGGAAGAGGGATGGAGGGATGCTGAGCAGCAGCCGTCTGTCTGTCCAGCCATCCACCCGCCTCCCAGAGCCCTCCCGCCGCCCCTCCAGCCTTACCGGGCGCGGTGGCTCCGCGGGCGGAGCGGCGAACGGGAGCGGAGCGGAGCCGGCTCCCGGCCCCGCCGAGCCGCGCTCCGGCGGTGATGTCAGCGTCCCTCCTCCTCCTCCTCCTCCTCCTCCCGCTCGGTAGCCGGGCGGCCCCCCCCGCCGCAGCGCGTCGGGGGGCGGGGGGCACCCGGCTACCGAGCGGGAGGAGGGAGAATTGTAGGAGTAGGTGGATGACTTCATTCCCAGATGCAGCATCTCTGCTCCCAAATTGCATCCTCTGGAGGATGGAGATCTTCCATCTGTGGGTCTCCATCCATCCTTAGAGGTGCTAAAGCACAGGAGAGGACCAGCACCCCATGGACACCCCCCTTATGCCAGCCAGCTCTCCCTGTGCACCCGCACAGAATCTCATCCCTTAACCAGGCTGAAAAACACGCACAGGACAGGCAGGAGATGTCATGGAGAATCCCAGCTCAGGGATGCTCTGGTTCCTCGCTCTTGTCCTGAGCTTAGACAAGCTACCCCAGTATTTGTCTGTCTGTGAGGCACAGGGAGGTGGATGTGATGCTCCCAAAGGCTTGCTTTGGTTGTTGGTTTTGTTGTTGTTTTTTTTTTCCTAAATCCTTGCTTCTCATGCTGACTTCTCTGAAATGGTCGTGGCTCCTTGTCTTTGCTGCAGGTTGGACATCCTAAAAATAGATGGTACCTAAAACACGGGCTCTGGGAAGTGCATGCTGGCTGAATCCAAGCCACTGCAGGCAGCAGTGCAGGGGTGGCATGAAGTCCAAGGAAGAATACCAGGTTCTGGGAAAACTGAGGAAACAGACACAGAGGTCAGCAGAGCAGTGCAGGAGATGCATGACCCTTCTCATCCATAATTTCAGCAACCCCCCCTCCCTTCCCTGTAGTGCATGGCCTGATGGTGCAGGGCAGCAGCATCCTGGGGGATTCCTCCTCAACTGCACTTCCTTGTGCAGCACACAGCCCCTATTGCCCCACTCTCCAGCTGGATCCAGCCCAGCTGCTGGTCCTTAGGGATTAAAGGAGAATTTTCTCTCCCTCATCCCATTTCTACTGGCACTATGCTGCTGTCATTGCTGGTGGGACAGGGTCAGAGTCGGCTGCGAACAGCCAGGTGCTGCCCTCCCCACAGTCATGTTTCCCCAGTCATGTTCCCTGTGCCCCACCAGGGGTGAAGAGGTTTTGCTGAGTCTCTGAAGCCCTGCCTGGTCTCCCCAGCGTGTCCCACAGGGCTGTGAAGTCAGCCAGGCTGAGCACAGCACCAGTGCTTGGGAGCTGCCCGGGGAAAGGCAAGGAGGTGTTTCCCTCCTGGGACAGGGCTGGAGCTGGGGGGGCTGGCGGGTACATCACCCTCCTGTGGCATCACCCCTCCTGTCCCAGGATCAACCCAATATACAGGCCAGGAATCAATGCAGTCCTGCAGCACAGGGGCAGGGGAACAACCTGGCATGACACCCCTCATCTGCCCTTCCCAGGATGCTGAGTGGATCCCTTCTGCCCAGTGCAGGTATCTTTCCCTCCTGATGCACTCTTGAGGTCCCCAGACACAAAGGCACCATTTCCTGCTGGAGCCAAGTTCCACTGACCCCAGTCCTGCAAAACTTGGGTGGGGCTGAGCATCACCCCAGCTCTCACTGGTTGGGTGCTGTCTCAAGAACCCCTCCCAGAGCACCTCTTACACCCCATTCCAGCTGCACTGCATGAGGATCATTCCCAAAACTCTGCACCTCGGGCTGCCCCTCACCCTGTGCCACCCCTACCTGGTTAATTTAAACCCCCACACCACTCCAGCCCAGAGTTTGGCACATCCCCCAGGGTGGGCAGAGGGCCCTCAGGAAGCACCCTGTGAAGGCTGCAAGAGTGCTCCAGGCCTTTGCTGCTATTGATTGAGCCAGAGGAGCTGCTTGTCAGGCCCTGATTAATCCACCCTCGCTGGATTAATGAGCAGCACTCATGGCAATGAGAGCTTTGCCGTGACTTGCTTGGCCTTGGCTGTTCTGTGGAGAAGCAGGAGGAGCTCCCCTTGCTCCCTGTACCCCACAGCTCCCTTCAGGCTGCTCCTTGCTCCCTGTCTGGGCAGCCCAGCATGGCTCTGTGGGGAGGAGAGCGATGTCTCCTCACTGAGCTGCCCGTGCCCTTCTGCAGCTTCTCTCCTCCCCTGGCTGGAGGGATAACCCTTGGTGGGAGCATGTCCAGGGAATGCTCAGCATCCACCCTGCCTGCCTATCCTGGCCTTTCCAAAGTGACAGGGGTCCCACTGCTCCCCTCTTTGCTTTTGGGGGCTGCCATGCTCGTGTCCAGGGAAGTTGGCCACATGGCTGTGAATAAATAGAGCAGAAATAGGGCTGTTAACATGCCCGGCTGGAGAAAGTGAGGCTGCAGAACTGGGCTGAGCCCTTTCCAGCCAGAAAAAAACATAGGGAAAAGGTTTTGCATTTCCTTTGACGTTTCAGAGTTGACTTTTTTGGTACCACCACTGTTTCCTCAATTCGGAATGGGCCTTTATTTGCTTTCTCTTCAGGAACAGGAAAACTTCCTGTCTCTTGGTTTTCTTCTTGAGTGCCCAGCTTTGAGCTCTGGCTTCTGTGGATTTTGGTTTAGGGAGAGCCAAGTGCCTCTTCAAACAACTTCCCAGTGGGGCATCCTTGGACAACTCTTCCCACTTGCTCCCACAGCCAAGCCCTGCCACCACCACCAAACTGCCTGCCGGGCTGGGGCTACCCGAGCCTGGGGAGGGAGAGGCTGGAGAAAACCCAGGGACATAAGGAAAGACTGGAGGTGCTGTTGGGGCTCTCTCCTGCCTCTCTGCAGGGCTGGAGCTTCCCAGCAAGGCAGATGCCAGGAGCTGCTGGAGGGGATGCTGGCAGGACACCAGCGTGGCACGGGGACACAGGGCACCTCAATGCCACCTCTCCGGGCCGCGGGCACAGCACACCCCATGAGCAGAGCTGGGCCAAGTCCCACAGCAGACCCGGGGAGAAAGCTCCAGCCCCTCCCAGCCGCCGCGTCCCGCAGCAGCCCCGGGGCGGCGGCGCCGGGCACGGAGCGGTCCCGGTGCGACCGCGGCGCATCCCCGAGCCCGCCCGGCTCGGCCGCCCTCGGTAATTAACGCAAGAGGGACCTGCCGGCCTGGACACGCGTGAGGAGCAGGGAAATGGGATCGGAGGGGCGGGCAGGCAGCGGCAGGGCAGGCTCGGGGCTGGCACGGGGGAAGCCCAGCCCGGTACCAAGGAGGGACGCTGCCACCGAGCCCCTCGTTGGCTGCGTTATTAGCACACAGCTGGGACAGCACCGCGATGAACAGCGGCTGCGGGAGCACAGGGACACAGCCTCCCCCGAGGGACACACACAGGGCGAGGCACTGCTGGGACACACTGGCAGTCCCCCTTATCACCCCTGGGTTTACACCCCGGGACACACACGGCAGCACAAGATGGGGCAGCTCCTGCTCTTGGGACTCAAGTCGTGGTTTCGCACATAGCCACAGAAATGAGGATTCCCCCGGAAGCGGGAGCTGCAGCCACAGGGAAATCAATGTGGTCTCACTGCCTGGTCCCCCCCAAGGTGGGGGAATTGGGATTTCCCCAGCTCTCCAGCCAAAATGCTTTGACTCCTTTTGAAGCTAAGAACTGAAATATTTCAAGACATCAAAAACTTTTGGCTGATGCAGATATTTATTTCTCTGCATCAGGAGGTGGGAAGTGATGAATTCAGCACAAATCAGCAACATTCAGTAACTTCCATCTGCAAACCCAAAGTCGGGCTCACTGCTGGCACATTGCAGTGTGTCCATCCATCCTGACTGTCCAGGTGTCTGGGTGCTGGACAGACAGCTGGGTAGATGCTGCCAGCCCACCACAGACACGTGAAAGCTCTTTGCAAGTGACTCACCTGGCTGAGGATATCCCAAAATCCTGTCAGTCACAGACTTGGCTGGTCTCCATGGCTGGTGATGCCTTCGGCTTCTTACCCAGTGCTTTACCAGGAGGGAAACTGAGGCCACTTCTCAGCTCTCAGGGAGCTTTGCTGCCCCTGCCCTGGTGAGAGGCACCCCCATGCTCCAGGGAAGGGGATGCTGAGGATCCAGCTGGCCTGTGGGAGAGGATGGGGACACTTGGGAGATGGCGTGGCCTTGCTGGGCAGCAGGGACATGAGAATGTCACTGGACTTGTCCTTCTGTGGTCAGGTCAGGCCTTCCCAGAAAACCAGAAAATCCAGCCCTGGCTCCCTCGTGGGGCTCAGGTGGGGGATGCTGGGGAGCAGCTGAACCCCAGGCTGTGGCACCAGGTGCTGGAGGAGGTGAGGGGAACAGTCCATACCTTGTCCTCATTTTTTCCCATGTGGCTGGCAATGATTGGGAAGGAGACCAAGTACTCATGTATTTGCCAAAAATTATTTTTGGGGTAGGGGATTGTGTACAGCAAACAGGGCCAGGCTGGGATGGGGCAACTTTTGGCAGGGGGCAGTATGAGAGGGGGTTTAGGAGCAGCTGTCTCCCCTTGGGACAGGAATGAAGGCTTGGCCCCGACTCTGAGCAGCTTCCTGACAACTGAGGGCTGCAGAAAAGGGCTGAGGCTACAGGCAGTGAGGGGGTGAGGGCTACAGCCCCCAGCTGCAGCACGGGTTGTGTTCATACCCAGGGTGCCTGGGAGGGTCAAAGGCTTCCCCCAAATACCACTGCAATTCAGCTGGAGCCAATGGGGCTGACTTCATCCTGATGAAATGTATCATTACAGCCAGGAAGGGAATGTGCTGTGGGGTTTTGGGGGAGCTGGGTGTGGGGTGGAGTGTGCTGGGCACACAGAGCCTGGTTTCCTGCAGGATGAGGTCTCCCCTGCCTCCTGCATCGCTCTGTGGTTTGATGACAAGTTGAAGGAACACACTGTGGGTGCTGGTGATGGAACCAGCACAAGCTCCTGCCCCAGAGGAGCCCTTGGATGGGCAAAGACCACTGCCAGGGTCAGGCCTGGGGAAGCAGCATCTCCCCCTCTGTGTGGTGTGGCTCTTGCAGTCCTCCTCTGTGGGAAACCAGCCCTGTTTCAAAGCGTCTTTCCAAAGAAAATCACTTTTGGCAGCCCTTAGGCAATGGCAGGTCTCCGCTGACTGCTCCAGTGCTGGCATCTGTCATGGCTGTCACTGTCCTCTCCCGCCGTCACCCTGTTGTGTCCCCGCCAGCAAAAATCCACTTCCCTGAGCAGCACTTGGGGAGGCCTGTGCAGCTTTAGCTTTTCCTTTGCAAACCGTGCGGCCGGTCCCCAGCGCCCTCCTTCGCCAGCTTCTCTTTTGGCCCAGGACATTGGAAATTTGGGGTTTGGAGAGATCCCTGCCAGAGTGGTGCCGAGAAGGGGCAGCAGCAGGTGACCCACAGAATCAGCCTGCGAAGATGGGGACCGCAGCCTTGGCTGGCACGGGAGGCCGGGGGCTGTGAGTGCTGGCGGTGCCACAGCTGAGCGCCCCGAGCGGAGGAGGGCGGCGGGGTGGGACCCGCGGGGCTGCGGGCTCCGGCACGGGCTGGCCCGGTGTCCCACGGCAGCAGGGACACGGGAGCCGGGAGCTGCCAGCAGCAGAGGGCAGCCGGGCTCCGGGCTCCCGCGGCACCGGGGCGGCCCCGGCGGGGGCGGCCCCGGGCGCGCCCGGTTAAAAGGCGGCACGGGCGGCGCGGTGGAGGCACAGCGAGCTGGGGCAGGACGGGACCGGGCGCTGGGATCTGCTCTCCCTTCAGGTAAGTTGGGTCTGTCCCTCCCCGCCCGTGCGGACCCCCTGGTCTCCCCTGGAGGGGCGCTGGGATCTCGGGGCGGCAGCAGCTGTGCTGGGTGGGGGCTCCCCCGTAACCTCTCTGCTCTCCCCAGGTGCAAAGATGGGGTGCTTCACCTTTATCAAGGTCATGATGATCCTCTTCAACCTGGCCATCTTTGTAAGTGTGTGCCTCAATGCCACCTGGGGCTGGGGTCTGTGGGAGGGGGTCCCGGGGAGCCCCCGGAGCCGGGTGTGGGGTGGGTCTGGCTGCGCTCTCCTGCCCCTCCGCACTCCTTTCTGTGGGCAGTGGCGTGGACAGTGTGGGGAGGTGGGACTTGCCAGGCCCAGAGGGCTGTGCCGTGCTCTGGGGACAGTGGCTGTTGCATCAGCTGCCCCTGTCCCTGGCTGTGCTGAGGCTCCAGAACAGTGGGTTTGCTGCGTCCCTGCCCGGGGGCTCTGCCTCTCTAGGGAAGCAGACCCTGTGTGTGGCTGTGGCTTTGGGGTTCCTGGATGTCGGGAATTTGGAGCACATGCAGGCTCTACTCCCGCCCAGGGCAAAGGGAGTAGAGCTGGCAGGAGCTGCCCTGGCTCTGCAGGAGCCACCTGGAGAGGGGTATGGTAGGATACAGCCTTGGGTGCAGCCTCCCGGCTCGCTCTGCTGAAACACTCTCTTTGTAAAGCTCCTGCCAGGATTTGAGTGTGGTGGGGAAGGTCGAGTGGGCAGAGAGGAGGGCTGGCACAGACTGCAGGTGGCCCAGAGTTGACCTTGACCAGGAGTACATGACGGTCTGGGGTCAGGGGCTGCTCAGCTCCTCTGGGTGGGCAGGCAGTTGCCCTGTATGGAGGAACTTGTGGCAGTGCCTGGACTGGGATCGTGGGGAGGCTGGTGGCGCTGCTGGCTTGGTTGCTCCACTGCTGGCACTTAAACCACTTGGGCTGGGGAGGGGGGCAGCTGTGACACTGCCCAGGGGATGTGCTGCTGGTGGGGTGTGTTTCAGGGTACTGTCCTGTCCGGCAGTGCCCCGAGGTGCCCACAGTGCCACAAAGTCTTGCTTTGGTGTGGTAGAAAGCTGTCAAGGGGAGAAACACCTATACCAGGACCTTGCCTGAATATCAAATCTCGTGCCTACCTGGAAGCTGACATTGCCTTTCTCCTCCCAGCTCAGTGGCGGGACCCTCCTGGGAGTTGGCATCTGGGTCAAAGTGGACGGAGAGTCATTCCTGAAAATATTTGGGACGCTCTCCTCTAGCATCCTCCAGGTTGTGAATGTGGCTTATCTCCTCATCGTCATTGGTGCCATCCTGCTGGTGATCGGCTTCCTTGGGTGCTACGGTGCCCAGAAGGAGAGCAAATGTCTCCTGATGATGGTATGAACCTGTCTGACCTCCTTATCAAGCCTCATTTGAGCTGGGTCTGTAGTGGGAGAGACCTAATGGGCAGATTGTGGAGATGATCTCTGTGGATGTTTCCATGTGGTGGCAGTCTGGGTGGCCCTTGGAAAAGCAGTGCTGGACTCAGTCTGCCCCAGAAAGGGTGAGAGGAGGCAGGAGGGCGTGATGAGTTGGGGTCTCGCTCTTGGAGCTCAGCCCTGTGCAGGTGGAGGGCTGGAGGACCCCAAGGTTGTGCTGCTCCTGCCCAGGAGCAGAGTTGAAGGCAGAGAGGCAGGAGGGCTGGAGCCCTGCAGAAGCAGATGAGCTCCAGGGACCCCTGAGCATTCTGCCTGTCAGTTTGACCTCTCTCCCCTTGCTCTGTCCTAGTTCTTCTCAGTGGTGCTGATCATCTTCATTGCTGAAGTTGCTGCTGCCGTGGTGGCTCTGATCTTCACAGGTCTTGTGAGTGCAGTACCTGAGTCTTGTGTTGGGCTGGTCTGGGACATGTCCTGCCCCTTGGGAAAACAGGAGACGTGGGCTGGCAACGCTGCCCATGGGTGTGGCTGCTGTGTTGTGGTCAGTGCTGCAGGAGGAAGAGATGTTGGTCACTGCTGCCACCAGCTATGTGGGCAGGCTGGAGTAGCCTGAGGGTGGTGGGAACAGGGGATCCTGTTATGTCATAACCCTCATATTTTTAGGAGAAGTTTTGCCCGCTTCTTTCTGTCAAGCCCCTCAGTCCCTAATCAGCTTAAGCTTGACACCTCCACCTCTGAGGGTAGGAGCCACTGCTTGAGGAAGTTCCTATTGCCTCATGCTGAGCAAACTCACCCCATTATTAGGCACCTGAGAAACCACCTGGGGGAGAAAGGCGACTGCCTCATTAGGCACTGGAGAAGTCAACCACAGGGCAAACTCATTCCTGGCTCCCTCACTTAGACCTTATCAGATGACTCTCTGGGCATAAGTGACCTTGTGCCATAAAGCAGTGGTTAGGGGGGAAGGGGAAAACTCTGTGGGTCAAATGGACATGGTGTGACTTCTGGCCATGCTGGGTCTTTTTGGTCTCCTCTCCATAGGCTGAGAGCAGTGTGGCGGTGCTCAGCTCTGTGGTGCTCCCCAGGACCTTCTCTGATGGTATTTTTCTGCCTTTTCTTCCAGGCAGAGACGTTACTGACAGGTCTGGTGACCCCGCTCCTGAAGGAGAAGTATGGGAATGATCCCACATTCTCAGAGATCTGGAATATCACCATGACAGAGGTGTGCTGGGCCCTGTGGGTTGGGATCTTCCCAACATGGGCTTAGGTGGTGCACGTCTGGGTGGGATGGTGAGATGGAAGTGGGGACACATCACAATCCTGGATGTGCTGAGCTGTCAGCACCTCCTCAATTTCCCAGGTTCCTGGGAACTACTTGCCTGGGAGCTAGTGGGGTGAGAGCTGTATGTGGGATCAAAGCCCTGGTCCCAAGGTGACTACTGAGCAGCCCACTGAAGCAGGGCTGAGCTGGGTGACACCCTCCGTGAGCCAGTGGGGCCTGGGTGGTGTTGGAGCCTGGAGGGAGACCTGAAAGATGCTCTTCCCATCCCTTCCTCTCTCTCCCTCTTAGGTTCACTGCTGTGGCCTGAATAATTACACAGACTTCAACAACTCCTACTTTTATGATACATACCACGGCTACCCCGGGCAGTGCTGTGGCATAGGGGCCACCAACCCCTGCAACAGCACGGTGGCTGCAGAAATGGCTGTCAAGGTATGGCTGTGCTGCTGGCTCTTGGCTGCTGGCAGAGCCTGACTTGGGGTGTGCCTGGGCACAGGAGGGAGACCTCTCCTGTAGCTCCAGCCCCAGCTCTGCACGTGGTGGTCCCATGGGCTTTAAGTTCTGGGGGGAGGCTGTGGTGGCCTTGGCTTGGCCCTGGTAGAAACAAATAAAGCTGTTATGTTGTTCTGGTCCTAAAGGGAATAGAGTGGCTTGCCTGGTGCTGGGCATGAACCCAGGCACCACTCTACCTTTTTAGGTGATTTTCTTGCTTTTTCCCTTGCTTTCCTCACTCCCCACCCAATATTTGGTCTGAGAAGTGGCTGAGTTGCTCCTGAAGCCTCAGACCTTCTCCATGGCTGTGTGCTCTGGGTTGGAGAAGCAGTACCTCCCTTTCTGGGGGATGCTGTGCCCTGGCAGTTGGGGTATTGCCACCTCTTGCCATCCTCACCCGTGTGGTTGCCTCGTGCAGGGCTGTTTCAAACAGATCTTGGAAGAAATCAGGACCAATGCAGGAGTGGCGGGCGGCGTGGCAGCCGGCATCGCTGCCCTGGAGGTGAGTCCTGAGCACTGCTGTGCTGCCTCCTCCTTGTGCTGGACCAGCCTGGGGGGCTCAGGGGGCTGGTGCAGCTCCAGGCTACTGAGCCTCCTTCCCTGGGCATGTCCAGCCCTCTCCCCTGGTGTGCTGTGACCCAGACCCCTGTCGGGAAGGGGAGGGAGGCTGTACATTTAAGGCTGATTTGCACCTTGCCCTCCCCAGATTGCCTCCATGGCAGTTTCCATGTACCTGTACTGTCGGCTGGATGAGAAGTGACCCCCTGAGGCAGGAGGATGACCTGCCACCTCCCCATGCCGGGGTGCACCCATGCTGTTCCATGCTCTCAGGGGGACCCCATCCCTCCCTGGGTCTGATGCTCTCCTGTGCACTGTGATTTGTAGCTGTATTTTGATCTACTGAACTGGGATCTGTAGAGTTTGTGTATATTTTTGTACTGATATGGTGTATGGAACCTGTACATAGAGATTTGGGGTGTTTTTTGATTTGGGGGGATTGGGAGAAGCTGCTTGGTCTGTTTGGCTGATGCCAGCAGGAGATATAGCAGCACAGGGGCTGTTCAGGGCTGCTGATCTGGCAATGGCACAGTGATGCCTTGATAAGCCCCTGCAGGTGGGTGCTGTACTGCTCTCACACTGGCCCCACTGTGTCCTCCTGCACCACTTTGAGGTGGTAACTACACCCTCATTGGGGATGTGTCCACTCCTGCACCCCTGCCAGCCCTGGCCTTGTTGCCATGTGGTCCCCTGAAAGAGGGGCTGGCTGGGTGCTGGCTCATCTCTGCCCCTTCCCTGGCATGGAGACAGCCCTGGTGGTCCGTGGCTCTGCAGGGGCTGAGGCTGCCCCATACCTGGTGCCATTTTGTGCCTGAGACCCTCTCCATGCTGTGAAGAAATGCAAATAAATTTTTCATCTTGGATACAAATTATTTTCTAGAGACGATCTTGGTGCTGCCTTTCATAAATACCCTCTGCTGGTGGGGGGGGTGCAGGGTGGGGGCTGCCTCACCTCCCTCCCCCCTTCCCTTCCAGGTCCTTCCAGGCAGCACAGCCCTACCCACAGCCTCCCTGCCCTCCTTGCCTGTGGCTCCTCACCTGTTCAGGTGCCTGACAACAGAGCAGCCCTGTGTTTGTACAACACACAGGGTGTGGGGGGGCACCACCCTTACATCCCCTGCCCTCTGCAACAGCCACTGCTTGCTCACAACACCCAGCCAGGGACTGAGCAGCAGCTTGGCTTGAAAGGCAGGGCTGGCTGGGGGGTTCCTGTGTCCCCATCAGCTGCAGGAGCCTGGAACGGGGTGGTGGAGGGGGATGGAATCCTGCCACCCCCACCAATGAACATCTCCACCCCAGCACTGTCCTGCACTGCCTGGCTCTGATGCATCTGCCCTCCCTCTGTGTGTGGGGATGTGGGATGTATGGGTGGGCTTTGGGGGTTTCCAGGAACCCTCTTTGCCCCTGGCTACTCCTGTTTCTCTTGAGGATACGCTCACTCTGCCTCAGTTTCTCCATTGCAAAAGCACAGCTGGGTGGTGCTCCCAAGGGCTCCTTCACCCTGTTTTTGCCATGGTTGTGGGGCAGGGGTGGTGAAGGACGGGGGTGCTGGCAGGAGGCCAGTGTGCAAACAGCCTCCCCAGCACTGCCTCGCTCTGTGCCTGCTGTGGCACCCCCTTATCAGCTCCTGCCCGGGTACCAGGCTGCACCGAGGCACTGCCGTGGTCTGGCATCTCCCTGGTGCCATCCAGTTCCTGTCACACGGGCAGGAGCAGGCAGGGAACTGTGAGAACAGTTCCCCACACTGGGTTACTTAGCCCTGAGGACATGGCGCTTGGTCCTGCCCCATGGCAAGGTGTGGGAGGAAGCTGCCAGAAAATAGCCTTGTCTTTCCTGGACTGGTGCATAAATGAGTCCCAGTTCTACCATAAACTGGTGTCACCCTATGGGTGTTGTCAGGGCTTTTATGCCTCTTAGAACCCTCCAAGGATGCAGGAGCTGCCAGGAATCCCTTCCTGGAGGTGTTTTGGTGCCCAGGAATCGTTTGGCACAGAGCTGGGCGCACCTGGCCATGTCCTCTCCTGCCCCCTGTTTTTGGGATGCTTTGCAGAGCCGGCTCCTGGCACAGGGGTGAAACTGCTGGCTTCCACCTTTGCAACTCCTCCTAGCCATGGGCTTTCCATGGGTCAGAACAGGCTGTTTCTCTGGCACTGAGTTTTGTAAATAACCCCGCAACCACTGGCTTGGTCCCTCCCCTCCACCTGCTCCGAAAACTTGAAGGACCAGTTTCTCCTCGCAGATGTGGATGTGATTCCTCCCAACTGCTCGTAGCTGCCCTGGCAGCCAAAATCAGAGCAGTGGTGGGTAAAGTGGACTGGCACAGCCTCCCTGTGCTCCCACTGTGCTCCTGCCATCCTCTTCCACTGCCCAAGCACTGCCACAGCCTTTGGGTTCTCCAAGGAGGTCTCATTCCAGCTGCTCCCCCACCAGCCCCATGGCACATCCCAGCCCACCACCCACCCCCACCAGCTCACCAGGCACCTCTGCATCTTATGTCCCTTAGACTTGCCCAGTTCTCACAGACTGGCACTCTGGGCAATCAGAAACTGACAGCACAAGGCCAAACAGTCCCTGAGGATGGCAAACAGAAACTTCCTTATTGGCCCGGAATGGCAGAAGATGGCTTGAGAACCTGGCACATCTGGGTGTGTGCCAAAGTGGGGGTTCTTCTTTTCCACCTGGGATACAGGGTGGGGGAAGGCAGGAGGGCAAAGTTTCCCTGCAGGGACGCTGGGCAAGCAGCCACTGCCGTGATGGGAGCTGCACAGAGAGCCGAATTCCTGGAGATTTGTGAGATGCATTCTCCACCGGCGTCACCTGCCCCGGGGCAAGCAGGCAAAACCCTGTGTGGTGCAGGCACCTGTGCTGGCAGGGAGTGGGCAGTGATCGGTAATTTAGGAAAGGAGCCGCCCCCTCCTTCCTGGGAATTAACATCCATGGGAACAGGTACATGAAAAGAAGGAGGAGCTGCACCTATTTGGGTTTGTGCTGATAAAGAGGGTAATAAGAAGCAAAAGCAAACTCATCCAGCATCAGTTGCCCAAGGAGTGCCTGCTGTGGGGAGTTTCCCCTGCCCGCTGTAAAAGCTGGGACAGGATGTTCCCAGACTGGGGAGAAGAGGATATCCTTGAAGGGTGCAGGCTGGCCCAAGGGAAGTGAGGCAATTCACACTTTCCCTGGCATGGATTGCCTGCTTGACTCCCCATCTCCTCTTCCTCAGAGATAAACCATCCTGAACGCCAGCCTAACCCCAACAGTGCTTCCTAGGCAGCTCCCTGCCCTAATCAGTTTGTCAGGATAACAGAGGAGGCGATGCAAGGGCTATTCAAAAGGCAGCAGGCAGGAGCCGACATTGAACCTGGTGTGTTAATCATTAATGCTGCACCGGGCAGGGCCGGCACAATAACCATCACAGCAATCCTGGATACCCAGTTGAAGATTAATTTGCCACCCACCTTAAATGTGGCACGGGAGGTGGCAGCCCTGTGTTTGCAGGCACAGCAGGGAACAGGGACAGGAATGAGGTCGTACAGGGAAAGGACCTCCCTCAAAGTTGGGAGCAGGGGGAGAAGCCAAGCAGAGCCCCTTCCTGGGAGCAGTTTGGGCACCTTGTCATTTATGACTTTTTATTCATAAATGCTTTTGGCATTTATGACTTTTTATGAGGCAGAGGGTGCTGAAAATTTAGAATCAGTTCCCTGGGATGCAAGTGGCTGGGCACAGCAACACTGACTCCCTCCCACACAGAGAAGGAGATGGGGCCAAGCACAGAGCATCCTTCTAGTGTTGAGATCTGTCCATTCAAGAGGACTGGGTGTGTTATCCCAGAGGATTCTGGTTGGAAGGTGCTTCCCTCCATCTGTGGGGCACAGAGGAACCCATGTGCCATGGGAAGGGTCAGCCTGGACCTTGTCTCCCACATACCAGCCCGTCATCGGAGCACAGGGACTTCCTGCTTCCTTGAAAGAGAGATCTCCAACAAAAAAACTATGATGCATAAAAATAAACACCACCGGAAACTATGCAAAATTCCCCACCCCCCACAAGCTCTGGAAAGGTCAAGTTTCATGCCAGCACTATTTTGCTTTTGTTTAATTATCAGCCAGTCCCTGGGAGGTGAAGCAGCCCGGACAGGTTCTCCTTTGTAGGGCTGCACAAAGCCAGGGAGGCCGGGCTGGGTGAGAGCTGGCTGAGGGTGCCGCATGGGGCTGAGCTCTGGCAGCCACTGGCTCGGACTTCAGGGCGGGCAGGAGAGGGGACAGGTGCCTGGGCATCTCCTGGGACAGCTGGGAAAGCTCCAGCACCAGCAGGATGCACCAGGAAGTGAGCGAGACCCCCGCAAAAGGGCAGGATGATGAGCGACCCCGCTCATCTACCGAGCGCCCCAGGGACTTGGGTAATGAACCCTGGCACAGCAGCACCTGGGGGCGATGGGCCGAGGCTCTCCATCAACCCCCAGAGGTTCTCCCCTTCAAGGGGTTAACCTGCTTCTGCTGCCATCCCTGTTCCAGGAGGGGAGGCTCCTCTAAACAGCTCCCTGAGGTGGTCAGCACACGGAGGGTGTCAGACCTGGGCACACATCGCTCTGCAGGGCTCTGCCCCGGGCACTCAGACACAGCAGCTGGATCCTCCTCTCGCCCATCGTGCCCTGGCAGAGGCTTGGTGCCTCGGCAGGAGGTGAGAGCCCCTCAGACTATGTAAAAATCCTCTGTTAAGGGGTTGCCCTGCCAGAAAGCTGTGCTTGGTCCTAGGGAGGGGCTGTTGGGGGTGCAGGATGCAGCTGGTCCATGCTGGTGGCTGACACTCTCCCACTACCACTGTAGTTCTCAGGACACAGCAGCTGGGGTGCCAGGAGGAAGACGGGGACAAGTTACCAGGCAGCTCGTCAGAGTTTCCATCAGTTGCGGAAGATAAAAGTGATAAGGCTTGAGGAGGAAACGGCTCGTAAATCTGTGCCAGCCCTGCTGGCACTGCATGGCACCACACAGAGGACCTCTGGTGGCACAGGCCTGGGGCCACCGTTAGCCCACAGCCAGGCCTGTGCAGCCCTGGGCAGAGCAAGACAGGGGTCTGTCCTTTCCAGGCAGGAGCCCAGAGCCAGGGACCCCAGCCCTGTACCCTACACAGAGCCAGCTATGAAACACACGAGGCTCAACAGCTTTGCAATGTTTACTCTTGAAAAAATAATTCAATTCAGAAAGCATCAAACCCTGGTGATGCCACGCACCC